TAGCTCGTTGGGTCACAGAGGTGTACAAGCCATCACACCACGTCAAGGTGTAGTCTCGTCGTGATGTTTGCTCGTAGTGATCATTTGGGAATGTGTTTCGACATCCGTTGTGACAGGGACCGGTCTGTTCTTCCGATAATAGTGTCACCGCAACTGCAGGTGAACTGACAGACGACATCTGAAGCAGAATTGGGTGCTGTGCACAAGCGTTTCTCATGCAATCAAACAAATTGCCGTGAAACTGATTCCCCGACCCGACCAGAGATCCTCTGACTGTTGTCCGTTGAATCACTGTACATATCATAAATTTCTTCTTGAAATACCAGATTGTTCTACATGGTAGCAACTGAAGAGATCAACAGAAATGTTAAAATCTCGCGGTTTTTCCCATTCCAACAGTTAAAATAATAGGACACAATGTTTCGAGTTTCTATAATGAATGCACAAATCACAAAATCATGCATAGACTGTCGCACCACAGGAGGATCAGGCCCAACGTAATTAGAACATTCAGATAGGCAAATCCTGATCAGCGGACAACTATTCAGATTTCCAAATGTTCGTTTCATTCTTCATATTCCATATCCAACGTACAAATTTTGCTCATGCGTAACATTGCCCCCGGTGGCTGATAGACACAGAAAAACTAAGAGCTGCCAAGAACGGACACTTGGATTTACCATGATCTGATTGGAATGCAACGACAAATGGTCACATAAAGGAAAGGTATGATAATTTGGAATACAATCATCGTGGAGCCACATGCAATCAAACGAACTTCACCGATCACCGCCAAAATCGCCTTATTCACAAAGTACGAATTCCTTTATTACACAGCTAAGTGTGATGAACAATTGAAAGGGCGAACCCCATAGTCATGAAGACCTGCTGTTCAGTGGTGGAAACCGGCTACCTAAGCCCCGGGACTTAGAGTGGTGAACCACATACGGCCCAGATAGGTTAGGCGTGATGTTGAACCGAACGACAGCAGAGCTGCCTACCACCAAAGTCGGGTGACGGTGGCGGGGCTCCAACCCCCGAACATAGGGTCCAAAACACACCGGTGACAGCGATTAAACCACTGAGGGAGAGTGGACCTGTCTTTAAGAAAACGAAAGTGAACCGCTGTTATCAACACCCGGAGTACACAATCTAATTGTGCACACAGATTGTCAAGGGCCTAATAAGAAATACTAACAAAAGCGATACTGCGTACTTCATTGGGTTAGAGGTGCACTACGTCAAGGTGCAATCTCGTCATTGTCACTGTCACCTTTCACAGGGAAACAAGCGTGCCCTAGGAAAAAAGCTGTGTGTAGAATGAGTTTCGTAAACAGTTTGTAGGTGAGTGGATTCATCTATCCGAGCAACACAAGCGAAATTTCGGTAATTATTCTGTCAGCTACCGAAAACAACTAAAATTCTTTTAACCTGATCACAAAAACAATGCAGTCGATTCGCATGAGCAATACATGAACATTTGTTCACTAATAGCGTACCCAGTTACCAACTTACTTTTGCTCTGGGAACCATTCGGAGGAGTATTTCACAGGTGAACTTCACTCGTTCCAAATCGACCTTGGACGCCTCAATAGAAGACTGCAAACCGTACTGAATGAGAGTTTCAAGATGCTTATCAAATTCTTTCGCGTCTGATCTGTGAGAATAGGGAAATAGAGCGAGTTTGGAAACAGGCAAATAAAGAGAAGTAACAAATCTACCGCTTAAAGCGATGATTAATGACCAATTGTTCTATACACGTACGACTCAATTGAAATCAGTGCAAGCATGTCGATTACACTTTTGTGAATCGCAGGCACACAAGCAGATCAAAGTCAAACTCAAAGTTTTATTATGGGAATGACTTACAAGCTCATACTTCTCTTATCCCCATAGGATTTGTTTCGCACGGCGAAAAACAATCACATGCAGTATCAGGTGGGAGATTATAGAGAATGTAAGCTCCAAAGAATTTGCGTTTGCTTCAGTGGTATAGGAATGTGAGGTGTATCAAGGTTTCATCGAGTCTCCGCTTGAACGATTCAATAATTGGTGCACGAATGACGTGAGATGGAAGAGTGGTCCAAGGTTCGAGTCAGCGCTTTTCCTCCGTCTACTATCAGCATACATTCGCCCACTCACGGAGTATGCTATCCAGGCATGGAATCCATGGCTACAACGTGATGGCAAAATGCTGGAGCGTCCACAAAGGATGGCCCCAAAATGGTCAGGGGGTTGAATCGGTGTTCATACGCAGAGAGATTGAAATCACTGGGGTTATATTCCAATCACTACCGGCGCATCAGAGGAGAAATGATTATGGTATACCAAATAATGCAAAACCCAAGCCATCCGTATCGCCCTCTTCTGAAGTTATCACTCAACGTTCATCTTAGAGGACATCCATTCAAACTAGTGGTCTCAAAGTGCCGCTTGGAATACCGGCGTCAGTCATTTCCAGTCAGTGTGTTCGATCTGGAACTTTCTCTCATCCTACGTCGTCTGTGCTCCAAGCATTGAATCTTTCATACTGACACTCGATGAAACATTAGCACACCTTACATTCCANGAAGAAGCACGTATCACGTGGCATTTTACACAAGGAATTGTATGTATCACCGGTTTTTAACCACCACACGAACCTATGGGACGAGAAAAGCATGAGCTTGTAAGTTCTTCCCATAATAAATCTTTGCTCTCTTTGCTCCAGTCGACACTTTGGAATCATTAACTTGAGACGGTGTCCCCTAAGGTGTATATTGTTCGATAACATGAGCAGTGGCCGATAGGGATGGTTTTGGTTCTGTAGTATTTGATACGTCAAAATCGTCTCCCCGAATTCGGCGGTACTGATCAGGATATAGTCCTAATGATCGTAATTTCTCCTCATAGGTGAGGCAATGCAATCCTTTGTCACTATCTTGGTGGCCATATAGTAAAGTGGTTGCACGGAACACAACGGAGCCGTTTGATCACGAAATAGTAGGCGACGATAAACGAGAATCATGCATTGCTTAGGAGCAAATGATATACAGATCAGGACAAAACATTCGAAAACGGGTCAACACGCGTTACGTCTTTACCCACTAACAAAAAACAAACAGGTTAGATCATTGGGACAGTAATGATGTGAGTAGGGCGGAACACGGCCAATGAAGCACTACTTACTTGGCCATCATTTTCAAAACAAGTAGCATCGATTTGGCGTCTTCAGAATTTTGTACAGAAGGCTGGGTGGAAGAATGGATGAAACGGAGCCAAAAATGCGCGTATAGTTGTCTATTCATTTGATCTGTGTTTATCAAATACTGTATAATTCGTTCCACACTGACAAGGCTACCCAAATTCGCATCGCGAATAAACTGACTCAAATTGCTCGCGATCGTATCGGCAATTTCGGAGGTTAGTTCAGCATTTGGACCGATCGGTTCATCCGGGTCCAGTTGAAGATACAATTTGCTAGCAGGGATACAAAGAAAACAGCAAACGATCTCATTATTCGATGTTTAAGATTTCAGTGTTCAATTACTGAATATCATGTCTAAGGCAATTCTTAGAGCACATATACAATTGGCAATCTGGCACAGGTATGCTAAACGTGAACTTCAAAAAGCCCATACTGAAGGACCTCGCTGCATGGCACACACATTCAGTCCATTTCACGCAAAGGAACAACTGGTTGCATTATCCATTAGGCTCGGAAGACGTAGTTGAGTCCTCAGATCGTTTCTATCTAGATCTGGCTATCAAATCCCACAGATGACTTTCGACCTTCTGAAGACCTGAATTATGTTGACAGAACAAAATATTATACAGCTTCACTCTTTTTCAGACCAGATGAGATGCTGAGCAACCAGTGGCAAAAAATAAACCGGGTAAATTTACTTCGGTTCAGTGACGATTTGCAGCACGTGCAAAGTGCGATTGCAACAGCACAAATGTGACCGATATGTTTCGTATTTGTAAGTAAATTTGCGTGGACAAGAGCCCGCATTTTGAACAAAAAATTTACACCTTATTTAATTAAAAAGAAAATAATACTTAATAAAACGAAAGTTGCCCAGAAATTTAACAAAAATCAGCTTTCAATTTGGAAGGATTCTGGAGAGATAACGGACAGTGCGATTTCTGTAGATGTCAGTGCAGGAGAGTAAGAAGCGATATGTGGAACGTGTTGCGATGTGAGCGTAACATTTGTATAGCTCGCCAGGTAAAGGATGAACGAGATCAGAAAGGATTTTGTGGTCAATTTTTTCGAGTTCTCAATCCAATAATGTTAGTATCACAAAAAAATCTACGAAAATTGATATATACCATACTTCTAACCCAACAAAATAGGGTTCATTTCATCTTATTGAAATAAACTAAAGTAATTGTACAGAAATTCAGAGTTCGACCACTGCGCACAGAACCAAAGATCACAGTTGACACAAACAACCTACCGGAAAGCCTCCACTACAGCTTTGCGAATTGTCTCCTCTTGTGACCAAATCTGTACAAAGATTTGTTGGATGCCTGCACCCAGACCAGCCACACCAGCATGTTTGGCGGCCACGAAAAAATCGATGGCTTCTGTCACATCACTCAGTGTTTTGGATGCAAGCATATTCTGGAAATCACGGATCGCCACGCTTATCAAAGAAGCGAAAGCGGAAGTTTCACGCAGATACGCGACACATGCACGTTGACGCATGACGGAAGCTGACAGCTCGGCGTGTGCGACCGAAGTCGAGCGTAAAGGGGAACGTGCGGCAACGGATGCCGGCGTTTGCGAGGCGACCTCAGCGGCCGTGTGAATGGCCGCTTCCAAAGCAGCCATTACATCTGGTGCAGCGCTGTCGATCATTGATGGTCGTGGTTCAGCCTCGTCCTTTATATCAGCCTCTTCGTT